CATAGATTAATATCTAACTTTGATAACCATTCGACTGCTTCAGGGGTAGCTGCATGGATTGGGGTTTTTTGTTTGTTTTTTTTTTTTTTTTTTTAGATCGCCATTACAAGATCTAATTAGGCAATGTTTACAATATCTTGCACCATTCTGAAAAAATCGCACCACAGTTGCACCCCAGACTGATTTTCCATTTATGGAGTAGGTGTCTGCATTTTTCCCTGAAGTGTCTGGATGTGATTCAGAGAAGACAAAATCTTTCTTGGTAGGTCAAATCTTGGCTGAGGAATTGTAGGGTTGCTGACAATGTATTTCTGTGGCAAGGTGGTATTTGCCCAAGCTTCCCTTCATTGTTCTTCGGTGCTCTCGTTATCATCATAGAGCTTCTTGGCATATTTCCAGAATGGTTTTCTAGATTTGAGCCTATCCAGGTGTGGCATAGTGATGTCCTTGTTGATTGGGAGGTTTGGGTTACTGATGGGCCTTATGGTATTCCCTCACACATGCGGCATTACAGCAGAGCTGTGGTGGATCAGTGGTTGCTAGGACTGGAAGCCATGGCAATGGCGTACTTTTTAGCATTCCTGATATAATCTGCATAGCTGCATTTAACTGTGTATTAGCAATCTTTGTGTACACGCTTTTGTTCCAGACTGGGGAGCAATATTTTCTGCAGAGAAAACAAGTGATAGAGTGTTCGAAGCATGGTTGCATTTGCTCCCCATGTCGTTCCGGCCAGTTTATGCACAAAGTGAACTCGTTGTTTTAGTGACATTTCTGTAGATGCTCACAAAAGGTGAGACTCCAATCGAGAGGTATACCAAGGTATTTTGGTAACTTCTCATGCTTAACCTCTTCTCCACAGTAAGTGATGGTGAGTCTTTGGTTGGCATGGGCATTATTTAGATGATAAGATGTGATGACAGTTTTCCTCAGATTTGGGCGATGTCTCCCACACACACAATATTTTTTCACAAGGCCTCTCCTGTGCTTCAGGGTTTCTCAGCAGCCCTGGTCTGGCTCTGGGTTCCCCGGGAGTTTCTTCTGTCCCTTCTGGGTTTCCATTTCTGAACTGGAGTTTTCTCTGACATCTGGGGTTCTGGGCTTCCCTCCAGCTCCCCTTTTTGGGGATCAAACTCCTTCCTTTCCTGCTTAACCTCCCCATCATTTCTTGCAAGTTCCTACAGCCATCTGCTTTAGGGTGCACTTGCTTTCCTGGGAGGAAGTTAGGTTCTCCTTTCCAGGGGGGTCCCCTCCTTTTTCTCCCCTTTCATGTGCTTCTCTGCCCCCTTTTTTTTTTTTTGGGGGGGGGGGGGGAGTGTCTGTGGCCTCTACTTCTGTTTTTTTGCCTTGCTTGTGAAGAAGTTGGGACAGTCTCTTTAAAGACATGCCCCTCTTTCCCACACAGATTGCGGAGTCAGTCCTCTTACAGTCCTTGCTTTCATGATCTTTTTCTTTGCAAATGGCACAAATTTTATTTGGACATTGTGACACCAAATGCCCCTGCTCTCACCACACTTGTGGCAGAGCTTAGGCTGCTCCTGGTAGAAGATATAGCCCCTATGGGGGCTCAGGGAGATCACTGTGGGGGATGTGCTATATCTCACCTGGATTCCCAGGTACATGTTCCAGCATTGCTCTGGCCTTCCAGGCTCCAGTCCACACACCTAACTTGTCTTGAACTTCCTCCACTTTTCCTACTTTCTCAGTGTCTTTTAAGCCAAAAACTTATGTCCTTTACTTTTATTTGACCAGAGTACATCTGGATTGTAATCAGTCTCTCTTTTCTTGCATCTCCTCTGGCAAATTGAAAAACATGCAGTTGGGGATTTCCCTCAGCCATCTGAAGCTGATATCAGAAATCTGATCTGTTCTTTGAATCCCTAAAGCCCAGTTCCCACTCTGCCCCACCCAGCATTCAAATTAGTTGATGCAAATTTTAAGATTTACCTTCAGCAGGTCCTATATGATCTGAACTAAGAAACTTCTCCCCATCAGTAACTTTTATGGGTACAAATAAATTAATAGGTTGTGAAGGGCAAGAAGGGACCTTGCAAGATCATTGGGTCTAGCTGCCCTGCACTAGGTAGGAAAGACATCTGGGGTCAGGTGACCCCAGCAAGGTGACCCATCCAGTCTCCTCTTGAAGATTTCCAGGGTAGGTAATCGCACCACCTCTGGAGGGAGCTTATTCCACAGTCTGGACACCCTAACTATGAAGTTTTTCTTAGCGTTAAGCCTGAAACAGTCTTCCAGTAAGTTGTGGCCATTACTCTTGGTTTTCCCCAAGGGTGCCCTGGTGAACAGTTGTTCAGAGCCCTTGATGTACTCTCCTGATATAGTGGTAAGCTGCTACCAAGTCCCCTCTTAGCCTTCTCTTTTTTAGGCTAAAGAGACCCAAGGCCCTCAGCCTTTCCTCATATGGCTTGCCTTACAAGTCTCTAATCATACGGGTGGCTCTTCTCTGGACTCTCTTAAGCTTTTCCACATCCTTGTTGAAGTGCAGCGCCCAGAACTGGATGCGATACTCCAGCTGCGGTCTCACCCATGCCGAGTAAAGCGGAAGAATCGCTTCCTTAGTTTTACATGAGATGCATTGGTTGATGCATGCCAAAGTATTGTTTGCCCTGCTGGCTACAGCATTGCCTTGACAGCTCGTGTTCATACTATGGTCTAGTATTATCCCTAGGTTCTCTTCAGTCGTGGTGCTAGTCAGTTCGGTGCCACCGAGCTTGTAAGTATGTTGGGGATTGTTCATCCCCAGATGGATCACTTTACATGTCACAATGTTGAACTTCATCTGGTTTTGATCTGCCCAACTTGCTAGCCTGTCTAGCCTGTATATGCAGCCTGTTTTCAAGCATGACCACGTACCCCCATAACTTGGTGTCATTCACAACCTTGGCCAGTGAGATTCTTCCCCCTCGCATCCAAATCATTGATAAAGATGTTGAAAAGCACTGGACCAAGCACTGACCCCTGAGGGACACCACTGGCCATTTCTCGCCAGGGTGATACAGATCTATTCATTAGAACTCTCTGGGTCCTACCCTGCAGCCAGCTTCCTACCCATCTAACTGTTGAGCAGTTAAGCCTGCAGTCCTCCAATTTTCCTGTGAGAACATCATGGGTTACCAAATCAAAGGTCTTCTGGAGGTCTAGGTATACAATATCAACCTCCTGTCTTTTATCCAGGTGGTGAGTTACGTGGTCGTAAAAGGAGATGAGGTTGGTAAGACTGGACCTGCCTGTGACAAAGTCATGCTGGCTGTCATTCAGAATCCTACCTTCTGCAAGTGTATTGCACATAGACTCCTTGATTTAATTTTTCCAGGGTTTTCACTGGGATAGAAGTTAGGCTAATTGGCTTATAGTTGCCTGGGTCCTTTCTCCTCCCCTTCTCGAGCATGAATACAACATTAACCCTCTTCAGGGACCTTCCCCAAGCACTGTGAGTTTTGCCAGAGGTCCCACAGTGACTTCAGCCAGCAACTTCAGCACTTTCGGATGAAGTTCATCCAGTGTTGCTGACTTATAAATGTCTAACTTTTCTTACTGATTGTGCACCAGCTCAATGTCAACAGTAGGAAAGTGGAAGTAGGAAATGTCTTGTGTTCACCAAGCATCTCGCCTGTAGGCCTCTTCTCCTACCTCTATCTTGTCTTTTGGGCTCCTGACCTGGAGTCCAGTGACACCCCTGTGCTCACTGGAGGAGTTTCAAGGTTCTATATCCAAACTGATAAGCAGGGATTCTGGTTTTCTCTAATTAAAAAAAAAAAAAATCCCCACTTTTCAGATTTAAAAAAGTAACCCAAAATCCACACTTTTCAGTAATTAAAATGAAACACTAATATATAGAGATATAGGTATATATAGTGGTGTTTCATTTCAGTCATGGAAAAATGTGGATTTGGGGTTACTTTTTTATTTGAAAATTGAGGGGCTTTTTATTAATCAGAGAAAACCAGGATCCCTGCTGATAAGAACAGATGCAACTTTTATTAGTGAATGTTAAGAAGGGAATTTACAAAGTTGAAGGGGTAGAAGGAAATTAAAGAGACTTGGAGAAGGGTGGCTACATAGCATGGGTTAGAAGAAGAGAAGGAAAGAATCTCTGCCTTTTTGGCTAAAATCAAAATTGGTGAGTAATTTTGCTCTTGAATATTCCAGATGGGATAAAACTGTCAGAAATGCTTGATCTCTTTCCAGTGTGTCAGCTTTCACATAGACAAATGCAAGAAGCCTGCATAGCGTGACACGTCTCAAAGTCCCAGTACTATAGTAACTGCTAGGCTCTCTATTAAGGACTATGGCACTTACTGCTTTGTTGCACCTGGGTACAATTCAGTAAGTCCTTTCAAGCAAATTTCTTTTATTTAAGAAGTCAGCTTCAGTATAAGGCTCACAATTAATGGGCTAAAATATGAGTAATAAAGGTTTGAGCTCTGGGTCCTTGTAACTGAAAAGCTTTTGATGATTTTCTGTTTCTGATCTCAGTGTAGCACACTTTATTCTAAAAACAAAAAAGTTCTCATGCAATGCAACAAAAGTTCTCAGTTACAATGCAACTTCTTCAGCTTAAGACTGTGTACACTATGACTTCTTTTTTTTTTTTTTTGGTCAGCATCACCACTGGTAGCACGGGCAAGAGTGCCCGAATGACACAAACTATCTGTATCACTATTATGCAGGCCTCCTCAAAACAGGTTTAAACAATAAAGCCTTAGTCTTGATAGACTTCCTGGAAAGTGCTGGTAAGGCTGAAGGGAGTAATTACTACCTTAAGTTCTTACTTTGCAATCACCATACAAACCATAGGACATGCAGGGCCCCTACTGGTTTGTGTAGTAACTTACAGGAGTAGTCCCATTGACTTAAATTTCTTGTATGAATAAGCATTTTGGGTGTTAGTAAAGATTTGCAGGACTGATTTGTTGGGAAGGGCTGAATGTTTGCACTTTTGTCTCAGACTTCAGTATAATGTTTGTCCGTTTCATTTCTAGCACACCAGAGCAGAGTTATGATGATTCTGTTTGTCCTGGAGATGGAGTGGGTGCTAAGCACAGGGCAAGACAAGCAGTTCACGTGGCATTGCTCGGAGAGCGGGCAGCGACTGGGAGGGTACCGTACCAATGCAGGCGCTTGTGGCCTTCAGTATCCTTTTTGATGCAATGTCATCTTTTTCCTTTTTCTTTAGCACATCTCTCTTTTATTTATTTTTGTAAGCCTCTTGTGCTATATATAATCCAGACCTTGCAAGAGAATGATAATTTAAAAGCCAATTTAAAAACATTAGCCTGTGGGCTCTTTTAGCTTTGTGTCTCTCATGCTTTGAGCGCATCACTTTTTAAACTGATCAGTGACCTATTTAGTGAGAGATACTGGTGAGGTTTTTGTTTCAACATCCAGCCTGTTGGATGGACAGGAGCAAACCAAGGTCACAATCAGGCCAGCATACATTGTGCATGTACGGTTAAATTAAATGACTTTGATATCAAGTAATGAGAATGAACCTTCTACCATGGGACAGACCAGTATGCTTTTGAAATATGGACTAGCTAAAGGCCACTTGATTCCTAAAGGTCACTCTAATCCAGTGATGTTCAACCTTTTTGCCCAGTGGGCTGGATGTGTGGTGCCTAATCTGGCCATAGGCTGGATCTGGCTGATGGTCCTCATCCAGTGCCCAGGGCAGGGGCATTGGGCCCCATCTGACCGCATGGAGGTGTGTTAGCACCTCTGTCTACCAGATAGTGCTTGGGGATCATTAAAGAACAATTAACCTTTAAATGGAATGTGAAATACGAATGCAGACAACTCAGTGTCCTAAAATCAAAGTCTAACTTTATTAGTACAACAAGTATTATCTTAGCAGTTTCTATATTCAGAGAGGGAGAAACATTCAGTACAATAATCTCACCCAATCCCAGATGTTACTTTGCTCAACAGAAAAAACGGCTACTCCAGTTCCTGGAAGCAAAGGGTATGTTGTGGGCTGGGACGGTCCAGACAGGTGTTGAAGGCTGGATTTATGACAACGACTAGCTTTCTTGCTCCCCCTTTTTTATGCTTTTCTTCAGCTTCACTCCTTTGACTCTTTGCTTTCAGATTGGTCTCTCTGAAGTCACCATACTGTCCATCTTTTATCCTGTCAGCATATTCCTTTGTCTAACAGACCCATCATGAGCACGCTTCCTAATTTGGCCTTTTTCCGGTGTCTTCCTTTGGGCATTGTCCATTGGTCTACCTTATCACTTTTCATTAATATATCCAATCCTTTTATCCCTCTGATTCAACTCATTAGTGCCAAGTTCAGTTAATTGGAGCTGGTAACAATCCATTCCTGTGTTATGTTAAAAGAACTCACAGTGATAAAAATAAAAAGATATATTATAATGAGCACCTATCAGCTTTACAAAAACAACTCAAAGCCAGCTAATAAAAAAATGAAAAGTTAATAAGTATAAAACTTAAGCAATTATTAAATAAGGCTAAATATAAACAATACTATAAGCAGATACAACTTCAAAGCATTAAACATAACAAGCTACCCTACCAGTGGGGCAGGAGCAGTCCATTCCCGATCCAGCCACATGGGGGAAGGGGTTTTGGGGTATTTGGCATGCAGGCCAGAGGCTGAGCACTCCTGCTCTCTCTCTTTTATTTTCTTAAATTAATCCCAGTTACCCAAAATACAAGAAACATTCACTCAGTTTATCACCAATCAAAAAGAGCTCCAGAAACCTGGTATTTTTGAAAGGGTAGAGACCAAGATAACAGCTGACCTGTATCAGTAGTGTGAACAGTATGTCAAAGTGCTTCTGGAGAGTCTGCAGGACAAATGCTGCAGTATATTGCTAGATGAGACCCACAGGACAAACTCCCCTTCTGTCCACGCAGGTAAAATAAGCCAGCCGATCTTCAGTGTTTAGCCAGGCAAAATGAGAAGTGTAAAAAGGTACACGGTGAAAGTGGAATTGCATCAGTATTGGTAAATGATGCTGATTTTCAAGTAAATGTCTTGCCTGTCTCTTGGCTGCTAGTCCCTGGGAGTCCAGACACTCTTGGCAAAAGTAGATAACTTGGAAAGCCACTTCTGATAGGACCCCTATATTATGTCAAAGGGTGGCGCTGGTTGAGATTAATATACACAAAGATGGCAATTATCTTGGTAGAGCTAATAACTCCCTTATCTTGTTAAATCCAGATTTTCTCTAACGTTTCCTTGTGCATGGTCTGGTCACAGTGAAAGCTATCAGCGCTAACAGTCGGCTGAATACAGGAGAGAACGCTAACATTTATGGGGGTTGGGACCTGTCAAAATGAATTATTCCCTTAATTTGACTAGAACAAGTCCAAACGCGTTTTGGTTAGAGCACCTGACAGGATGCATCTGTTCAGGCTAACGTTTCCCTAAATATGGGCTCAAACAGCTTTAACAAAACAGCAGTTGCCACGGATGACATGAAGTCGTCTTCCTTCTGGGCATTATTCCATCACTAATGTTGGGAGAGCACTTAGCTAGTAGGGGCAGAGGGAAGTTTATACATGTAATTCAAGCTTAATACAATAATTTGTATTCAAACATTTAGGGACTACTATATAATTGTTCATAAAAATGCAGCATACTCTTCTATAATAACCCCAAAATACAGAACACCTTCCTGGATTTTGCATAACTTTTCCTCAATGTTTGGCCTTCAGATTTGATGTCGAGACACGACATGTGTTTGTTGGTGATCACTCTGGGCAAGTAACCATTCTCAAATTAGAGCCACAGTCCTGCAGCCTTGTCACAACATTCAAGGGACATACAGGTAAGGTTTGCTATGAAATGATCTTCTCTGGCTCTTTGTGTATGCTCAGCATCACTGTAGTGTGATACATATGAGCTGCTGCAATGGTTTCAACTAATGCTTGGTTTGGAGGGGAAAATAGACCAGCTTAAACCATAAGCAAGGCAAAGACTGGTATAAGCAGAAGAGGGGTCAGACT